TGGAGGGGGGGGGGGCAGGAGAGGGGATGAAGGGGGAAGAAATCCGATCGATGTGACGAGATTACTTGTCTCTCGCGAGAACGTCCTCCTCGCGATTTCGCGCCTCGGAGTCTCTCTCTCTTTCTCTCGCCGTGGAATTTGTCGCGCGGCATTTATTTTTTTTTCTTACGCTTTTTTTTCCTTTTTAATTAATTAACGAGCTCGTCGTATGATATGAGTAGTACATTGCGTATACACGTAACACTGGCCTTAATTCTAATTTATGTTACATTCACACGCGCCCTGCGACGAAGGGGGAGATGTTGGCTCGTTCCGCTTTCGCGAGCACGTACGACGCTTTTGATTTTAGGATGCCGAGTGCGTCGATAAATATCTAAATGATAACGCCGATAAGCGAAAGAGACCTGTCGTTTATTAACGCTACGAGTTTGGAGATCGTCAGCCTTTCTGTCGTAAAATTGCATTAGCTGCAACATACATGTATACAAGACATCTCAAAAAGAGTTCTCCAAATATCTCTAAATTTTGAGTGCGTTATTTGATGAACTTGTACAGTCAATCCTTTGTTGATCATTTTTTAAATATTAAATTTAATTATCTGTTACGAAAAACAAGTAGATTTTTCTGATTGGGCTTTAGTAACTTAAAAAAATTAACAAAATCTTGCTTGACTTCTGATTTTATCTATAGGGATTTCTTAAATTTATGTCATCAAAGTATTTAATATTAAATACTCTGAGAGTAATATTTAATATTAAATACTTTGATAATATAAAATATTAAGTTTAAAATTTTTTCCTTTTTTTCTTTCAGCTGTCTCTTCTCCTTTTTTAAGACCATGACAGGCATGACAGATAAATAATCATGAAATTCATGAATAGATCTCGCTATGAACTCTCAGATTTTGAAGCGTACTCTGCTAAATGCACTTTAAATTGGATATTTATCGACGCATTCACATTATTATTTGCAAACGCGGGCGCGATTTTTCGCGGACATGCGTATTTATTTATTTTTATTTATATATAATATATATAAATATATATATTTATATATATTAAATGTCATACATTGCGCAACGTAACTTAGCAGATTCACAAGCTGAGATTGGTATCATTCATCAGGATCGCTTTTACTACTGCTCCGTAATACTCTACTCGCCTACTGTACAACATTTTACACTCATCGTATTTCGTTCGTAAGGTAATGTCGATTATTAACGCTACGAGATTATTGGAGAGTCATGAGATTGCACAGCAACGCCCGGATCATTCGATCGCGCTAGCGTCGAGTCCCAGTCGTTTACTTTTCTATTCTCCTCTTTGCTCCACTTTTCGTCGATTTTTAATATGTACAGGACGACACGGTCTGTCTCGTCGATTCCTTCCGACATTCTCAAGAATTGTCGAAACGACGCGACGATCGCCAAGAAGAATCGCTTTGCAAACAGAGCCATGTGGATTATTAAACGCTGGATATATATTTTTAGAATACAACTTAAATCATGTCGAAAGATCGTTTTATTTGCAAAACATTCGATTAATTCTTGATCCCTCAAGATTGAGGATTGAACAAATGAAGAGTACATGACAAAGAAAAATAAAATCGAACGTAACAAAAAAATAGATATGTCAATATATTATTTAACAAACTAAATTAAGTAATTAGAAGATGGATAAATAATAACACTAACTTATCACGGAAGACCGAAATTAAAGCTTGCCCCTTAAAGTAGCTCCGTTAAATTTTAATTTGTTATTGAGTTACATGTAGATTATTAACATGGCTAATCATGTATTACGATAGTCATGATTCTGTTTGCAACTCCTTCCTGCATGCTCGTCCGTTCATGCACGCGTAAGATCCTAATTATACAATGTTATATATACTTATACATATATATTACAATTATGTATTATATATCGGAAAACACTTTGAAATATTTGAAAATATTTTATAGTGCAATTCGAAATGATATAATACAATTATAATAAATATATATGTATATATATTTGTTGAGTGTATATATATTTACACATAGATACCTTCGGCTATAAGTACAAACGATTCCCTGGGTCAACAAAAATCACACAACGTAATATTCAACTAAGAAGTCCGATAGTCGCTCATTATATTATGTATAAACTGGCAACAATAAACAATCCCCGTTCTTAGCCTACCATCGACACGTTTCGTCTCTTTCTCTCTCTCTTCCTCGGACTTTCCTAAAAAAATGCTCGCAGAAGTAGATCTTACGTCTAATTTTACTAAAAAGACGTTAAATATTTCCAGGATACTAAATTAATTTGATCAGACAACAAGAGCATAATGTTTTCTACATAACTAGCAAAACTTCTTTCTGAAAAAAAAAATCATTTGTGTTTTTTTGGAAAGAATATCACGACAATTATTTAAAATACAATTCTGTCTCTCCTTCTTTATCTGATCAAATTAAACTCCCGAGAAGCACGAACGGAAAAATCTCAAGAGATTATTCTCGAATTATTATTTCCGATTATTTCAAAAAGTACACGAAAAGATTCTCCGGGAAGAGGGACGAATGGGAGGAAGTCGTGTCGTGTCGCGCTCGCGAAAGAGCTTCGGAGATTTAGAGCACCGACGCCTCGGTCCTGCCGGTCGGCGGCGTCGTCGGATGGCCGCTGGCGTTGTTGTTATTGTTATTGTTATTATTATTGTTGTTGCTCGCCTCGCCGGCGTGACTCGAGCAGTAGAACTTCTTGTGGGCGATGAAGGTGCTCAGGTAGTTGAAGCTGATGTCGCAGGAGCGGCAGTAGCGCGGCCCGCTCTTGCTCGGATCCAGGCTCTCCTCCGGCGGCGGCGTGTCCTCGCGCTCCTGCTTCACCTTGCCGGCGGCGACCGCTGCAGCCAACGGCGCCGCCGACGACGGCGGCGGCGGCGGCGGCGGTGGCGGCGGCGGCGGCGGCGGTGGCTGCGGGCTCTTCCGTATCTCCGTCTTGCCGTTCACCTGAATCTCGGCTGGGATCTCCTCCGGCGTCGTGGCGGCCGCAGGCTCTGGCGTCGGCAGCGTCGCCTCGTCGTCCAGCACACACGTTATGTAATTCTCCTCCTGGGAACAAAGAACATTCCGTAAGAATCTCTCGGTCGAAGTCGCGTCTTAGAAGTGCGTCCTGAAAGAAAGAAGGACCTGATCTGACCTATTTCTATTTAAAACATATGGTGGTCTGATAATCCAAAGATAAGACGTCCTTATGTCCCGATTTTAGATTCTGTGTTGTTCAGGGTACGTTTGTCCAAAGATCCGGTGTTTAAAAAATGCAAGATTAACTTTAAAGTTAAATTCGTTCCTAGACTTGGGAAAAGTTAATCAGTAAAATCAGTTTATTGACTGAAGTGAGGAATGCGACATGAGGCCTCGAACGGCAGAAAAAGAGAGAGCTACCTGTAGATCAGTGCCGCGCTTCTCGAAATGCATCCTAATGTGGGTCCTCATGCCGCGCAGAGTGTTGCCCTTGTAACGACAGATCGTGCACCGAAAGGCCTTGACGCCCTGATGAGCGTCCATGTGACGCTGGGCGGCGCCGGCCGTGGGACTGACGGCGCCGCAGACCGGGCATCGCCAGCCGCCGGTCGCGCCGCTGGCGCAGGTGTGACTGCTGCCGGGTTCTATCATCGCCTGCGACAAGCCATTACATCTTGTTAAATTCTTCGAAGACAATCGGGATCACGCCGGAGATCCAGAAATGTGTTTTAAAGAAGTCAAGACCTCTGAAAAGTGTTTTAGGCTTCAACGTTATGTGTGTATTTAAATTCATTCTCTTAAATTTCGATATTCTTCTTCACGTCTACCTTTTACACTCCTAAAATTTTTCAGGTGTTCTTTAAATATTTTCTAAAATTCAGTTCCTTATAAAGTTTCCTTAATGTTGTTTACTTCAGGCTTTACCTTGCACTTAGAACACCGCGTGTGATGCTCCTGGGGCTCGGGCCTCTTGGGACAATAGAACGCCTGATGGGCGACGAGATTGTCTATGGAAGCGAACTTGATGCCGCACGCGGCGCAGATGAGCTGGACCAGGGGCGGCGAGGGCGTGCCGGGAGGCGGCGGACTGTTGCTCACCGTCGTCTCCCTCGCCTGGCAGTAGTGCTTCTTATGAGCGACGAAGTTCTCGTGTCGGCAGAACACGATATTGCATTCCTTGCATCTGCAGAGAACAAACGACTCCATAATTTCTAATAATAAGAATCTAATCTCACGAAATCTCAAAAATCGAGGGTATAATACGTTCTTTAAAATTCGCGATTCAAAAGCAGGCGAAAAGAAGACGATCCAGAAGGAGATTTTTCAATCCCCAAATGGGGAGTCTATAAAGACTCAGTTTTAGGACCAAAAATGTATTTGCATATTTAAAAATCGGAGCAATTCAGAATTCCCGCGGAGACTCAATTCCCACGCAATTCCTTGGAAAAGGGAACCCGACTGCTTACCTGGAGACACCCTGCTTGACGAGCACCCCGGGAACGGGCGGCGGCGGCAGTTCGGCGAGTCTCAGGGCGAGTTCCGTGGGCGGGGGTGGCGCGACGGCGGCGGTCTGGGCGGTCGGACCGGTGGACCTCGTTCTGGGGCTGCCGCTGCCTCTGGATCTGGGACTGCCCGGTGGCGGCGGCAGGGACGACGGCGCCGGTGACATCCTGTTCTCCTTCTCGTCCTGATGCACCGGCGATCTGCGCACGCTGAGATCGAGGGGCGCCGAGGCGGACGGCGACGTGGACGCCGCCACGACCACCGACGCCGGCGTCGAGGGCTTGTTCGCCGCCCTCAGGACGGCCGACGGCTCCACCACGGCGTTCTGCGCCGTGGAGGCGAGGCCCCTCGTCATTGGCTGAAGGGAACCTGAAAACGTGACATTGTGTTCTAGAAAATGTTATTAACATTTATTATCTATGTATATCTAATCGATTTTGAAAATCATATCTTCCAATACATATATAATAATATTCATTTCTGTGACATTTTGAATGATTAATTGCAATCGCATCTTTTAATAGAAATTTTAAAAAATGTTTTTGAAATTTTTCATGAAAGGAAAGATTGAAAAAAATACTAATACCGTTTGGCAGAAGGAAGCACGCTGTGTCGGGGGCCGGAAGTGTTGGCGCGGCGAGGACGCTCGCGCTGCGGAACAATGAATACGGCACGATGAGGATGGGGTTGGTGGGCAGCGCCAAGCACGGCTGCGGAGGTGGTGAGTCACCAGGACTCGAGCTAGTCGGCGGCGACGCCTTCACTGACGACGCCGGCGTCGCCGTCGGCGTCGGCATCGTGTCCTTTACCACGTGCCTCGTGCTGCAATAATGCGTTTTGTGCGCCCTGCAATAAATTAAATTGCAATTAAGGAATCGTCTTTGATCTTTAGACAAATAATATGTTATTATAGTTTTTCTAATATATTATTATAGCAGTTTAAAAAATTCGCAAACTTATTTTGCGTTAAATTTAAACTGATTTGGGATACGAATGGCTCAATTTAAAGAGCATGTTGATTCGTATGACGGTCCCGAGCTCCCGAATTCGAAGGCTTCTTACCCCAGTATACCTCGATTTTATGAGGTTATTGAAATGCAATTTATAACCATTACTTTCTATATAATTATTATTGTTTATAGATTTGAGAATCTCAAAAAATTAGTATGAGATATAGATTATTATATCAGCGATGCACGAGCCGTCAATTAATTTTTTTTCTTTTATATTAATATAATTATTTTAAAAAAATCTACAACTTTGAAGATTTAGAAAATCAAAAGAATTTGAAAATTATTACGAATCTAAATTCCAATAATTTTAAGAACTCATATATCCTTAAATTTTCGAAGATCAGAAAATCTCATCATATTTAAACAATTAATTGCAATTTAATTTATACTTAATAGTAAATGTTTCATCTTTTAAATAACTATTTCATCGTTTGATTCCATATATAATTCCCCATAGTTTCACAATTTTAATTTTTAAAAATTTTATATAAATATCAAAAACAAATCTTATTGTCACTCATTTCAAATATTCAAGATGTTAATTAAAGATCTAACATTTATCTCCATTCCATGAATTATCTGCTACCACAATTTACAATAGTTTACTCGACATATTTCCTTTTGAAAATTTTTCTATGAATTGTTTCTTGTGTAAAGAACTTGAAGATACTTAAGGTGTGATTTATTTGACGCTACAAACACTTCGAAGCATTTGACTGACTAACCAGAAGAAAGAATTTTATCGACTGACCAATCAAAAGATGCTTCGAAACATTTGCATCCTTAACATTTCTCTACTCTTCCATCCACTCACCTGTACGTCTTCAAGGAGCTGAATCGAATGTCGCAGTTCCTGCAGTATCTCTCGGCCTCCTCGTTCAAGGAACCGTTGGCCGCGGTGGTTTGACCAGCCCCGGCCGAGTTGGCCGCCGAGGAGTTCGGGTTCGCCACCACTGCCACCACCGCCGCTGCCGCCGCCGCCGCCGCCGACGACGACGGTATCGTCGGCGGCGCCGGCGACGCCGCGTGCATCCGCATGTGACGGTTCAGCGACACCTTCTTGTCGGCGCTGTAGGAGCAGTGCGGGCACGCGTACGCCTTCCGCACATCGAACTTGCCGCCGGACTTGCCGCCGCCGTCGTCGTCCTCGTCGTTCGCCGCGTCCTCGTCCACGCGCGGCCGATGGGCGCAGTAGAAGGTACGATGGGCCTCGAGGGTGCTCGCCGAGCTGAACCGGATGCCGCACGGCGGGCAGATCAGGGCGGTCGGCGGCGGCCTGGCCGGCTCCACCGTGATCGTCTCCTTGCCGTCGGTCGGCAGGACGAACAGGCGGCCCGACGCGATCGCTGAAGAAATTAAGCAATTCGGTCAAGACTGTCCCCGGCGACGAGTTTGTCATTTCTTATCCTACGATTTTTGGGTCTTATAAATCTTTGGGGCCTCTTCAAATCCTGATGGAAAACTCTTTTATATCCAATTTTGCATTTTGTGAAGTTCAAATTCTCAAGAGTTTCAAACGCCTAAGATTTAAAAGACCGTAAAAAGAGCATCCAAGGAAATTTCTAAAATCAATTCCTCGCGGTGTTTACAGTCATCTAATATGGTGTTTATAGTAATCTTTCCTACAATGAAGCGCCATGCCACTCGCCATGCCAAAAGATTACTCACCGTTCTGCAGTCCGGCCGGAAGCGGCGGCGTCGGATTCGGCGGCGACGTGTTCTCGGGCTTCACGGTAAGGGCGGCGACGGTGGCGGGTCGTAGGGCGGGATCCGTCGCCAGACTAGTATTGAGTCTCAGTCTTGGTGCTGCCTCGTCGTCGAGTCGTATCCTCTTGGTCTCCCCGGCGGCGATCGAGTCCTCCGAGTCCCTGCGGCAAACGGAGTCCCGCCGCTTGACGGCGGCGGACAACAGCGAGGACGATGGCCTCGGCTGGCACTCGTCCTCTCTCGCCATCTGCTCCTCATCGATGTCCTTGGGACTCGATTCCCGCGTCCGCACGCTCCTGGACGGCGCATGACGGTCTCTTATGCCCCTCTGTGCATGTATACATTTATTTTTTTTTTAGTAAAAGATTGAATTCTTCAATGTAAAGTCGAAATTTCCGAATTTAAGACATCACGAGCAAATGCAATTCCCGAAATTTTACCAAAAATTTCAGGGCGAGTTTAAAATCGATAGTTGGAAGATCAACGCATGGAAAAAACGATTTTGCTGGAAGGCCTAAAATTTTGCTGGATATAGATCTGAAAATAATTCTTGTTGGGTGATCAAAATAATTTTGTTGGAAAGTTTAAAATGATAAGCATTTTAAACTTTCCAACAAAATTATTTTGGTATTCTAGCAATCAGTTTGACTTTCCAACAAAATTGTTTTGATTACCCAGTAAACATTATTTTCAAATCTGTATCCAGCAAAATCGTTCTTTCCGTGCGGAATTAAGTTACTTGTAGTTAAAGCACTTAAATCGGAATCAAGTTATTTAAAGTCAACGCACCTCGATGTCCTCTTTGAGGCTGACCAGACGCTTCCTTGTGTCCTCCGAGAGCACGTTGAGGCGTCTGATGTCCTCGCTGGCGGAGGAGCTGGTCGAGGACGACGTGGGGTTGAGTCTCGGAGGGGGCGGCAAGCTCGAGTCCTCTTCGACCGTCGGCGGCGCGACCGGGCTCGACACCGCCGAACCGCCACCGTCCACGCCGCTGCTCACCGACGGGGTCTTCTCCGAGTCGCTCCACTCCTCATCCTCCCCTGAAACCGAAACGGAGATATTCATCAGTCGACATTCTTGATCTAAATAACAGTGAGTAAACGCTATATGCAATTTTCACTTCTATAAGTTCAATTAACTCACTATATATTTTATCTCAAACGCTTTAAAAGCAACAAATTGTTGTATAATTCTAAAGAATGTAAAGATGTTCTTTTACATTCTTTTGAAGAATATATAACAAGAGTTTCCGAAGAAATATCGAAAATAAAAATTAAACTAATTGTAAGATTATGGTAACAACTTGTTTCGAATTAAGTTCTAATCGTCCGAAGATCTGACAGATCTCCTGCGGTGTTACAACGCTGGAAACTCGAGACTCGCGGCATTCCTGACTTGAAGACAGGTCGAAGTCAGAGCAAACTACGTTCATTTAATTTACAAGGTTCACGTTAGACTTCGATCGCGTTCAAAAAGTGGATCCTCCAAAAGTGGAGCCAAAATTATATCTCAATTATAGATTTATCTCACTCTATTATCTCAAATCCTTCAGCCCATTCAACCTCCGCAAATTTATAGCTTTGCAGGATTAATCGGGATTATAACACAGAGAGGTGAAATTTACATTTCTTCAGAAATTGCCAGTGCCGGTCGGAGGTAGCCCACGAGACGACCATAACGCGCTGTCGCTGGACCGGAGGGATGCTGGGACCGGAGATGCCGAGACGAGAGAAACCGCTCTCCGGCTGTCCGAGTGCCTAATGGGCACTCGGTTCAGCGGCCCCTTTGCGTACCCTACACGTTTCCTACTCTCTCCCGCCTCGGCCTCGGTCTACCCCCGGCCCGGCGCAACCACCAATTGCACCCTTCGCACGCCGCCTCTCATCCTCCACCCCGGGGGTCGCGCTCTCGGCTTGCTCGCGCGCAGCCTGTCGAATAGTTTGGTTTCAGTGTCTAAGGGCTGGTTCCACAGCGAGCGTGTGCGATGGACCGTTGATAGGGGGTCAATTCTAAGGACTGCGCCAGAAAACTAAGGGTATCACATATCGATGAAGCTTCTGAGAAAATTAATTCCAGTCGCGGAATTTAGGAATCAATTTAAAAATATTCTTTTAAAATATAGTAGTGAATAATTAACCATCACACATTGATGAAAAAGTGAATTAAATTAATTATGCAACACTCTGTTAGGAAGAAATGTATGAAAGAAATTGTGACGTCACAACGCTGAGAAAACTTAAGCTTGATTAATTGAAGCTTGCGCTTCTTCAGCATAAATCTAATAGTCATATTTTAATCCTCGAATAATTACGATCGGAAATAATTGATCGTCCTACATCGTTGATCACGTAACGCGATACAATACTTTATGAGGGATTTAATTTAAGAGATCATGTATGCACATTTTATGATTCTCGAAACATTCTTTTTCTCGATCGATCGTCGAGGAGAGGCTGGACGATCCACCAGGTGGTTTGTCGTCGCGAGAGATCGGAGGACTCGAGAATTACCCGGATGCTTTAATTGCCTCCTCGGGCGAGGTGGAAGAAGGAGCGATCGAAGGACGTGGGGAGAGAGTGACAGAGGGGAACTCTCCGCGACGCGAAGGAGGATGCTCGGTGAGAGAGAGAGAAAGAGAAAGAGAGGGAGATTCTTGGGGAGATTGGGCAAAGGGTTGCAGAGCGCGCCTCGTGGGCTATCCCGCGCTCGCATCTCTACACTCGGGTCATGTTCCTCTCCTCTTTGCTTCTCTGTAAATAAGCGGTCATCGATGGATCGGCCGTAGCCGTGGCGTGGCGTGGCATAGCGTGGTGTAGCAGGGCACGGCGCGGACAGCACAGCCTCCCTTTTTCTCTCCTACTATACGGTCTATTTCCGTCCCTCTTCGGGGAGCGCGCGAGCGCCCGATCGCGGGCCTTAATTGCGCAGCCATGCATTGCATACGTTTCGCCCAGCGACGACGTCTGGCGCGACATTCATATATACGCGTGACCCTCGTCCGTTTCTTCGTCTTATTCTTCTTCCTCCTCCTCCTCCTCCCGCTTCCACCTCGTGATCTCAGATGTGCGATTGGAGAGGAGAGCTGGTACGGTAGAGAGAAGTGGTCGCGAATAGATCTCTCTATCTTATGATTGAAGCGGAGAGGTGTGTACGATAGAGGTTGCAGATAAGCCCTCTTATCTCGCACGGTTGGTTTCCTTTCTCTTCCCCCCCTCCCACCTTTCCTCCTCCTCCTTCTCCTCCTCCTCCCTCCCGTCACCCGAGGTTCTATTATCGAACGGGAGATTTCGAGATGATCTCCGAGTGTGGATTGGACCTCGCGATCGGCACGGTGATCCGAGGATCTCCGGGGCGTCCGATAATCCTGCCACGTCCGAAAATTCGTGAGTACAATGGCCATACCGTGGATTTAAAAGGCATTGAAACAGCCCGAAAATTTCGGGATCCGAAGAATCTCCTTCCGTATAGGCGCGTCAAGAGAGTACCCAAAATATTCACAATTCCATATATGCTAAATTTCAAAGAATCTGTGACAAAAGTTTCGGAGGTTTAAGATTCCGAGATCTAAAGTTCCGAAAAAAAATCCTTAATCACATAAAAGTACAAGCCAGAAGCGCAACGTTTCGACAGATGAGAGAGCAAAATAAAATCTAAATGCGAAAAGAATAGGAAGAAAGTCTAAGGATCATTTCTCGAGAATTTTCGAGTTTAGATAAGATCTCCGAGCATTTGAGAATGATGAAGAAGTGAACGGAAATCTTAAAATCTTTAAAAAATGCGAATCCTAAGAAAATATAAAAACTACTAATACAGTCTTGTTTTAATATTCTGACAATCAGTTTAATGTTCAGGAGTTTCTGTCTATAGATTTACGAACTATTCGAATACACACAGTAATCGTTTTTTATTACCTATATATATTAAAATTCTAACAATTACATTGTTAATTAAAAGTTATATTCGGCGATTTAATTCAATTTATTGTAATTCGATTCAATTCGGGTGAGATTTTGTTGACATTGAAGATTAATTTAATTGAGATCTCACTATTCCAGTTCCAGCTTACGATTGCATTGCAAGTTCGACATTAATTCGGCGCGCAGTTTAAAAAGGCTGAACAATGGATTTATAAATATTTTGTTGGACACCAAAATCCAGCCTCGAGAATAGAAGGCGCTCTCAAATTTTATTTGCGAAATTTCGTAGAATTTTGTCGAATACTGTGAATTCGGTTCGATTCAGTTTGGTATAAAAAAAAAAGAAAACTTGATTCTCACACATCTCTATACTGCCGTCATAGACTCGGAGCGCGTTCTTAATTGCGCGTGCATGCACATTACATACGTTGCCGATCGTGGCAAGGGGGCTGCGCGCCTCGACTGTGCACCTACGAGCCACACACCACCTTTACGAGCGTCCAACCACCTCCGTCGTGCGACGGTTGGGGTGCAATATATCTCGAAGAGGTGGCGGAGTAGGGACCGAAGGGGATGGGACGGGGGAGGGAAAAGGGGGAGGCAACACGGCCGCCATTAACATATCCGCGGCCTGATAAGCCTTTCTCGGAACCGATACCGCCGCGCCCGTGTACACCTTCGGCCCCCGCTTTATGCAAGAAGCGAGCAATCGCCTAGCGCGACTCCGGCGCGCGGCGCGGGCGTCGCGCTGAAGAACGGAGCCGGAAGCTCGTACTTTCGATCCCGCCACTCCACCACGTCCTTCCGATATATATGTACCTCTCTCCGGGCTCCGTTAACGAGCCTCAAATTCCGGTCGATTTACCGGTGCCCCCGACGCGATTGATGCGTCACGCAACGATAAGTCGGGTAGATATCTTATTACCTCGGATCCCTTAGTTTGCGGTTTTACAGTTTCGAACCTGGAAGTTAACCGAACCTTGAAATCCTGCAGTTCTGAATCATGCAAGTATATAAGCACTTGTTTATATATAAGGAATTGCTGGAATCTCAGAATCTTCGAATTTTTCGAAAGGGATGTTAATTTTACGAAATTTTAAGAAAGTTTTAAGCGTCCTGCAAATTTTCCGCCTCTTGTTGAAAAATAACGAAGGATCAATTAGGGTAGGTTTGACCGACGAGACGTTCAGAAATTTGCACTTTTTCACTTGCTGGAACAATTGCGTTAATTTCCCTCGGTTGAGCAAAATTATTCAACAGAATTACACTCGACTCGTTAATTCGCCAGAGAACCGCGAGTATAACGATCGAGGAAAGACCCCCGCGAATCATCTCCCCCGTATCCCATCGCGAAGCAGAAACGGCCCAAGCTCAAATTGGCGTCCGCGCACCAGGCTTCAAAAGCGATTTAATTTAATCCCGTTTAATTTAATCGAAGCCGTAAATCGATAAAACAATCAGAGACGCGTAGACCAGGACGTTACTCTTGAGGAGTCGCGCGAGCGCACGTGATGCGCCGGTAAATCATCGCCGCGTTCCGTGACCGGGGGCGCACGCGTGCGCCGCGCGAGAGCGCCGCGCGATGCAAAAGCGTCCGCTCGTTAGAGTAATAAGTAGGTATGCGGGGCATTTATTATACCGCGCACTCCAAACCCTTCCTTCCTTCTTCCTTCCTCGCCCACCACCTCAGTCACGGTCTACGTCGACCTCTGCAGCGGCGTGTTGTTGCCCCGTTCGAGCGTTAATAAACGGGAATTTTGAGAAACGCGACCCCACTCTCCCGCGATCAATCGTTAAAAATGCATCCAGATGACGAATTTCATCCCTCAATTATATGGGTACATAAGTACTGCACATTTGCAACGTTCTTTAAAAGGAAATTTGGAATAAATTCAGCATACAAATCGGGGTAAATTCGAGATCTGCGCAGTCAATCTTCTCTTAAGAACTGAAGATAGAAACGTATGTAGCATTGCCCATATTGAAATAAAGGCTACATTCATTTTCTCCTCGTTGTTTATCATATTAAACGAGGATAAATCATGCTCATAGCGCAACATTTGATTAAAACGGAATGCAATCAATAGTGCTTCTTGCTGTATCAAAGAGGTTAGCGATAGATAGACATCGATAAAGTATATTTCGCTA